CGACACCCCCAATGCCTCCTTCGACAACATCACCGAGGAGGACAAGGCTGAAGCCAAGAAGTACGGCGACCTCATGGGCCAGAAGGCCCTGGGCATCCTCTCCAAGTGAGTGGAGCTGTCAGACTGTAAGCCTCTGTGAGCCAATCAGCTGGCTAGTTTTGGAATCTGTGTATGTGCCCTACCTTACCAGCCATCAGCGTGCAAGGTATGGGCCATTTGCACTCCGTAAGCCGCCACACCCGCATGTGAGTAACAGACATGCTATGGCCATCATCTAGTATCATAACATGCTACTCAGCCAGAGGCTGAATATCCTCGTGTTTTGCGTTACACACGGTGCAGTGGCAGGGCTGCGAATCGTGCGCACGCCTTTTTGCTGTGCAGCATTTGCATCCCAGGAACATCATTTAGCCAGATCTAATGTTTCGCAAGCCAATGACTTCTGGACACCGAAAGGTGCAGGACTGGCAACTTTGGTGGATGAACTTGGTCCGCTAAGAAAGGGGTGCGGTGGGTGCAGTTCGTCTAGCCCAGCTCTTGGATTTGCCAGAACTGTTGTCTTATGTTTGTACCTTCCCTGACCTTAAAGGCCTTGGAAAATCGATGATGGCAACTGTAGCCTTTTTAGGCTCTCCTGTGGGTTGGTCTCGGACCCCACATCACATTAGTCGCTCGTTTTAAACTCAGGCAGCACTTGACTCCAATTGTTGTGTATGGATGAATTGGCGCACCAGCAGCGTGAGAGCAGTGCCGCTGGCAATGCCGCATAGAGTTTTGCAGTGTTTGCCTTGTGATGCGCAAGATGCACAATGTTCATTCCTTTCTTGAATGCGAGGATAGTGAATTCTTAGCAACCTGGCTGCATCAGTTGAATGGTAATAATTCAGACAATTCAGCATGTCATCAAGAATTCCCGATGAACTCCAGCAAGTCACTTAGACAATTGTCACACACGCCTTCTTGCTGCATGCAGATGAACTCCTTTTTTGAGCAGGCCAAACAGCAGTCGCAGTACTTGTAACTACTTGTAACTGGTTCCGAGTTTCGCAACACACCTGCAAGTGCGCCATTTCAGTCAAGTCACGGTGCAGTTGCTGTTGGTGTTCAGTCTGCCACAGTGCTTCGCAAGTGCTGGATACCATCTTGAAACCCAGGATGGTGGCCGTAACCCTGCGGGCACTGATCTGGCTTCCTGTTCCATGGCTTGGCAATGCTGCACAGGACCGGACTGCTCCAGCTCCAAGCTCCAGATTGTCTTGCGTAGCGTCCCAAATGAGCCCCTGCAGGTGAAGCTGGCTGAGCTGGCTAGTGCGGTTGACAATGACATGTTGTATACGACAAACCCTGTCTGCAACTTGAATGCAAGGTGTCAGACAAATCAGGTGATTTCTACATGCTTTGCAAACCCAGTACTGCTTCCTCGGCCCCAAAACCTGCCCAGCTGCTTGAGCCTGGCACTGCTGCAGCAGACGCGGCAGGCTCAGTCTCGGGCTTGAAGCCCCCTCAAGGACCCAGATAAAGTATTTGCCACATGGAAGCGTACAAGTGAAGCAGTGGAACCACCTGAGCCTTCTATTCGGGTATTCATCGGGTCTAGGTGAACAGCTCTCCTTGGGTCATTTGATGCTTCAGAGGCAGCCAAGGCCTACAGAGCTCATGCGTGAACCCCTTCGCGCCGGGATTGATGGATATCCCCAGGCGTCTGTCTTCGGGCTGATCGTGGAGAGTGAAGCGAACAAGACCACAAGTCCAGTAACGTTGCAAGCTTCATGTTCGCCTGGCAGGCTGGCCACCATGATCTGGCAGTGTTCACCAGAGGGTGAGGTGGCTCCATCGGAGAGATGCACAGTTTCCTGTGGATGTGGGCAGTTGGTGCATTCTTTCTTGCAGTTTAAGCTCCGTGACTGCATCCTGCAGCAGACCCAGGTAAAGAAGAACGTCAGATTCTGCAGGGCTGCTCGGCTTTTCGTGGACTCAGAAAAAGGCAATCTAGGTGAATTTAGGTGCGGTCCGGGTCAGCGTAGCTTGGAATAAACCACCTTTTGCATTCCCGATGACAGGATGCCCTGGACTACGATGCAGCCATCCCATCTGGAAACCAAACCGCCACACTGGATAAAATCGTGGCCGCGCAGGATAGCCTTCTCCTCAGTGACAGACTTCTCAGCTCTATTCCAAGACAGAAGGGTTGGCAGAGGGTAGACTTGACAGAAGGAGTGCTGGGATCATACCGTGCTGTAGGGCAAGGACTCTGGTGTGCTCCATATTGCTCCGACTTGAAGTGAACACTCCCCCCTGGAGGTGCAGCCTCGACAATGTTCTTCTACCATCTAAGCGCATTGGGCTACGATGCCCGTGTCTCAGAAGAGCTTCGTGCCTTTGATTGGGGATGGCCAGGCCTTGCGTCCCTACCCCCCCACAAAAAGATTAGGGGGTTGGGTTATTCGTTCTCCAGGTTCTGGACCCCATGGCCTCCGGCCTCAGAGGATAGGTCCCGGCAAGGGTGGCGGGGCCCCCTTTGAAAGTCCAGGAAAGCGTAGAGGGAGGGCGCCCAGCCTCTTAGGTGTTGATCGTGAACTCCTAAACGTCCAGAGGTGAGCTAGGGAAGCCTTAATAACCCTTCCCAGGACTATTCACGCAAAGTACACACGATAGCGGAAAAGGGTCCAGGCAAGGGTCGTGCGGGGCCGGCCCTTCTGAAAGACCAGGTAAGAAGCACAGACAGAATAGCCACCCTCCCAGACACGCATATTTGCGTTTGCGTGAACTCGCTTTGGGGGTCCCGGGCGGTCAGATGGAGAACCTAGGGACCCAAGAAATAGTTTCAGACAAGAGATTCATAGGCTAGGTAAGCGGCAGAGGGAGGAATGACATGCGTGAAGGAATCATCGGTTGTGGTTGCGGTGTCCTAAGTCCAGGTGGGCAAGGACTGCGCGTTTCCTTCCAATGTATCTTCTCCACATTCAGGATTGGGCATGTTGCTATTTTGCCTGCTATCGCAAACGTGTGCACTTTCAAGACATCTTCAAGCTGGGATGCGCAGGGCCTTCGCCAGAGGCATCAGAGGCCCAGCATCTCATCCTGTAACTTTGTAGCATGGGAATTTTTTGCCTAAAGCAGGGGAAGTCTCACATAAGCCCTTCATGGGCTTGCAACGGTGCAGCTTAGCCGGCAGCCAGGGCGTAGCGTCCATGAAGTAGATTGGATGCGAAGTGACGCGGGATTTGCAGCCGCCTACACAAAGCTCGCTCCATCCATGGCTGAATGACATAATGCTGACTACAGCCAAGCAGGTTTCTCAATCAACCGAATCTGAAACTTGAAATCTGTTATGGGACCCCAAAAGTATGAACCTTGCCCGACCTGATTTCAGTCAGGCATGGGAATCGCGAAGACCTAATGAGACGGACGATGCCTGTGTGCAAAATGTCTACAAGCTGCTTGTCTGTAGCTGGCTATGGCAGATTTTCAAAGCATCCCTTCTCGTTGGCTCCTCAACCCAGGCTGACGTGTTTGACTTACTTCCCCAAGAACCAGGCTTTGAATCTGATTGTACTTACTCAGTGGCAAAAGCAGGCTTGAAATTAGTGCTTTCAAAGTGTGACATGACGGTTCGACAAGTAGTGTTAGCTTGATCTCTGACGCGTTGGCACACTGTGCTGGGAGCGGCGTTTAATACTTGCTACTTCAGACAACTTCCAGTTGCGCCAGTGCATGCAGAGGTGTTCGCAGTAACTTCAGATTGAGAAGTACCGTGCTGCATGCAAACCAACACATGCAGGCAATAATTCAGCCACGGTGAGTTGCAACGAGTTGCTTGTATGAGCGTGCAACAGCCACATGGCACAGGCAGGCTGCAAACCTGGAGCTCAAATCCCCTTTCTTAGACCGTGCCGGAATGCCTGTGAGAGCTCCTTGGCTTTGTCGAATGATTGTGGTGTAGTTGCTGTGCAGCCTGCACCTAAGCTACATGGGCAGACCTTGCCAAGTTGAATTTCAGTCAAAGGGAGCATGCTCACATTCAAGCAGAAGCATGCTTGCTGCTAAACTCTCTTCAGCCAGGCTACCTCAGTCAGTGCCAGGCCTGATTATGACTGCCAGATTTTCGTGCAGATTGCAATTTCTTCCTTCGCTGCTTCCAACAAATATTTCACTTCTACCAGTCTTTGGGCTCGAGACCGTTCTTTCAAGATCTTGCACGCTGCTTTTTATCACCCTGACGGAAATGCCTGGTGTAGTTGTGCCTCCCAGTTCATGCGTTGGAGACATTTCTGGGCAATCCATCTATGTGAAGTTGTGCCTAACCTACTAATGCACACCTTCTAACAGAAGTGCCTGCCGAATTTCGCGCCAGGTGGAGTGTTGCGATGCTAGTACTCAGTGTGTCTTCGAGCACCAGGCGCACGATGGTAGCCAACAGTCACCAGCTCAGGGGTCAAGACCCTCTGCTGCGCAACAGATGGGATTGACAGAGCTCAGGCTTACTGGCAGACACACCGCTGATCCAACTTCTCAAGAGACCAGCAAACCCACAAGGTCAGGATACTACGATGCCGATGGGCCCTCCGCCCTGTGCACTGGCAGCGGCTGGGAGGGCGAAAAACACTTCGGTACTTTTTTGCAGTGTTTTGTCGTGAGCCTAAGCTGATCCGGGAGGTGCCAGCCGCCTGGCCTCCCCTGGAGCACTGCTGTGGCTGGGCCGCACCGCTGTGGTGACAGCACAGCCTGGCCTTGCCTTGCTTTATTTGAAACGCTATCCTTGAACAAAGAAGTCAAGGCTGCTACTGCTGGGACTGCAGCTCTCCCTGCAGCGCCAACAGACGGGCTGCGATCTGGCCTGCAGAACTTCCAAACACTGTGCCCCCAGAAAGCGGAAGCTGTGATCCTGTACTTCATCCGAGGGGCTAGAAACCTGCTCCTAGTGATGGTGCTGTGCTGCGCGACCAGCTTGCAGGGGTGACTCAGCTGCCAATGAAAGCTGCGTGTCTGCTTGCTTGCGGACCTTGTATCTAACAGGTGTTCTCTCTTCATCCCCAGCCATCGGGCAGCTTGGCTAAGAGCTTGATGGGGCGCACAAATTGTACTTTGAACGAGAACGATTTCAGATGTCACACCTGGGAGTGGAAGCACAGCAAGGTGCCCAACTGGAGAAAGGACTCCGACTACCTGGTGCGCTTTGAGCATGCCCTGCGGTAGCAAAAGGATAACCTTTGGATTTTGCAATGTGGAGCTGAATGGACTTGGGCTTGGCCAAGGCTGTAGGTCTGCGAGGCTGAGGCATGGGCTAATCAGCTGCTGTCCGAGTTGCAAGGTCCCAGATGGGAAGCCTGAGACTGCAGCGACTCTGAACTCATGCAGCGCTCTGAACTCCCAGGAGGGTGACGAGGCCTGGAGGACCATCAAGATTGAAAGGTCTCGCAGTGGTCGGACTACGTGTTTTCTTGAGTTGCAAGCAAGCAGGTTTGCTCTGGCAGAGGGCAATGCAAGCCCTGGTCCATCCAGCCCCTCAAGGTGCACTGGCTCATCGGATGGTTGGGTTGGCAATCTTGCTCTGCGATGACATTTTTGCAAGTAGCACATCAGCGCGGTTGATTTTTCATTGCCGGAGGCTGCCTAGGGGTTTTCATTGAAGGTGTACAAGGCTTCAGTGTGTACGCTGCAAGGTGGCGACCGTGAACATCACAGTGCGAAGCCCAGCTGGCCAGCCCCGTCCAGGAGCCCTAGGCGCAGGCCGTTCCCTTTTTGTCCTTTCCATTCTCCAGAGCTAAGGTGCCATCCATTAGTGCACTGTCCTTCTGTGAGTGCGACTACCAGTGGGCCGATCCTGAGTATCTTGGCAGATACTTGCACAAGGTTCTGGCCAAAGCTTTTCACTTGGGCTGTGCTGTGCTTTGCTTAGGGCACTTTTTGCAATTCTTGTCCATTTGACGTAGGGAGGCTAATCCCATCCTGGGAACGTGCTGGCCACCTGCCAGACACACATCTTGTGGCTGCACTTAAGGTGCCGGACAAGGCGGAAATCTCAGATGAAGGCATGGAATTGAATTTGTCTTTTGCGGGATCTAGGACTGTTCAGTAAGAAGGGCAGAAGCCCGCCTGCCTGTTCAGGAACATCCCGCCATCTGAATGCCTTGCATGCTTATCAGGCCTTCTTGCTCAGCCTCTTCGCTGGCATTTTCGGTGCCGACCGGTTCTATCTGGGCCTCTGGGTCTCCGGGCGCCTTTGGCATCTCCTAGCTGTTCTAAATCTGCTTCGCCGGATCTTTGGGCATTGGGTTGGCCAGGAGATGCAGATTCAATGTACTGGTTGTTTCTGGTGTGGTAGGCATGCACCTCTGGATTGATGTAGTTCCGAGGTGCGTGAAACTGGCACCTTGGAAAAAAGATCAGCAGGGTCGGGTGATTCCGGATTTGTGTGCTGGGCAGATTTTGGCACTGCAGAGTTTGGCAGAGAGGCTTTGCATGAAAGAAGCCAGAGTCAGCTCTTGACTTGTTCGCTGCCTCGGGTTTCAGCGCAGCTGCGCTGAAGGTTACACTCGGCGGTCTGGGACTGTGGTGGCTTTTTGACGTTGCTGCTTGGATGCAAGACCAGCACAGAAAAGGAGAAGACATGAGCCCGGTACAGAGCATGATGCATTTCCAGCTTAACAGTGGCTGATGTTGACTTCACTGACATCAATCTGATGACGTTGGCTCTTGTTATTGGCCTGTGCTAGAGCTTCTTCATGGTCTGCTGGCACTAACACTTGTGCACTCACAGGTTCGCGTTGGATCCGCACCGGTTTATGCAGATGACTTCAAGGCCCTGGTGATAGCTTTCTCAAACTTCCCTGTGTGGGAGTGTTTCAGTGGCAGCTTAGGCTCGTACTTGATGGGTAGAGCTCGGTGTACTTACTTGTTGTTTAATGCCTCCAGCTACAGCAGGAAGGCAATTCCCCCTCAAACCGAATAGCAAAGATTCTGCCCTCAAAAATCGAACTGAAACTCAACCTGTGGAAGCTGGGAAGGTTGCAGCGGACCTACCTCACTGGCTTTACCTGCTGAGCCTTCGCTGACTAGGGGTTAAGGGGACAAGCTGCAAGCCGTCCTTGGGTAGGCTTGGAAGGTTTCCGCAGCATGGAATTTCAAGTCGAAGGGCTGTGCTGAAGGATAGTAATCCTCGTCTTCGGCGGGATTGGCCTCGTGTACAGCTTGGAGCTCTATGGCAGGCTCAATGCTGACCATTTGTCAACGCACATTTTGTTCGCCTAAACTGCACCTAGTTTTTTGATGTTTTTTTGCAAGCATTTGCAGAAAGCAGTGGAGACAACATGAGCTATCTTGGGAGGCAGAGGAGGCAGAAGCGGCAGGAGGCGCAGACAGCTGGAACCAGACGCCTTTGACCTGCAAAGAAGGGCGCGCGACAGCGCGCAACAGCGAACTTTGCCCTTTCCCTCTCCAGGCCATGCAGTTCAGTGTCGACGAGGAGGCGACGCTACTGAAGGCTCCTTTCTCCGAGAGTCAGCGGCCAAGCAGCTGTCACACAGACGTTCGCACAGAAGCTTATGCTGGCAACTTTCAGACCCTTCTCCTTTGCCAGAGGAGTTCAGTACAAGCTTTGATGTCGCCTGACTGGACCCTGCCCCCTACTCCCGCTACTCCTTTACCTGATCCCTGCACCAAAAACATACAAGCAAGCCTGCGACTCTGTTCTTTTTGTTGTTTTTCACATCCCGCCTTGGCGTAAAGAACTGAGACACCACGCTCATCCAAAGTTCACATGTTTTGGATGCGGGGCTTCTAAGGTAACGACCCTCGCAATCCTTGGAGTGGGTGCCGGGCTCAGCGTGTCACCCAATCAGTGGTACCCGGCACCCTGCAGGTGTTCCAGTTTGAGAGGGTTGCAAGGGCATTGGCTCGTGGCAGCAGCCGTTTTGCAAAATTCTCAACCTGCACAGCGGGTGAGGTGGCGCATGCCAACATCAAAAGTAGCCAGCTAGGTCTTCAGCACAGAAGGAGGTTTAATGTAAACACCGGTTCAACTCTACTCTAAATGTTATTTGTACCAAAACTAAGTGTAATGAGCAGTACACAAGGAGGTCTGATGCTTAGCTCCCTATTGACAAGGTGGTTGCTTATTCATTGAAGATGAAACAGACCTTCCTAAATCTGAAAAGCCTGACTGGAATTGCAGTTGTTGAATCTCCATCATCTCCTAATGACAAATGACTGATTCAAGCGGCCTTCATAAAAGTCCTGCAATCAATATCTGCCTTATATGCATGTTTTTTTGCAATAGCGGCTATTCTTCATCAGGCAGGGGCCGGGAGGTATGTGTTTCAGTATCAGGGGAAGCGAGTACAGTTGCGGAGCCAGTAGAGGATGGCCGACATTGCAGAAAGTCTCGGACCTGCATAGACTTCTTCCTTTCGTCCTTACTGCGCTCACCTCCTTGGCCGTATCTAAACCAGGAACATCTCTAGCTAGGCATCCCATGCCTTTTGAATGGGATCGTCAAATTTTCGAGGATACTACAAAGGCCTAGACCAAACCATTGACCCTCAAGCCTGGACTTGAGCATCCGAAGTTGAAAGCTGGTCAGCTCAAGATGTCGCTTCAAAACAATCCGAACCCCAAAGCAACTCCAACCATACAGCTCTTCAAGAAAAAATAGATCACCCTTTGCGCACGTCCTGGTTACAAACATGCCCTTTGGTTGTAAGTTGTAACTTCCACCTTTTGGAGCCTTCCCAGTTGCAGTTGCGAATTTGAGCCATCTGGCTGTAAATTTATTGTTCTTCCCAAGCGGAAGTCAAAATTGATATCGCAATACTGCCAATTCTTACTATGGATGGTGGTCCGCTCAAAAGCCTGCTCATGAACTGCTTCACTTCCTTACGCTCACTCCGCTTGCTACATTTGTTATCGCTTCCCTAAAAGTACCAAGAAGACCGACGCATGACATCAAGGAAGCTGCGAGTTCCAGCTGGATAACCCAAAGAGTCTTGTATTTACATTCCCGGGCACAACTCCCTGAAAAAAACAGTAAAAGGAGAAAGCATCCAGAAACCCCTTTTTCATTCACGTTCCTTAGTTGTTTTCTGGCAGTTGCAATTTCAAAAAAAACATGCGTTTCTTGGAAATCAACGAAGCCCTGATCACCTACGATCCAATTACTGACCCCCTTACTCCCTTATAACAGCCCCTATGCAGCACTTACAACCTCCCAGTCACTTACCTTTGGGAGTGGTCTTGCCCCTTGAAGTGCCTTATTTCGCTTGTTACGGACTGTAAAAACTAAATCCAGATTGCATGACAAACTTGAAAAAATTCAAAAAATGTACTACGGCCCTCAGGTTGGGGAAGGGCCATATTCAGTGATTATGTGGATGTTATTTCGATTTGGCGGTAAGGGTTGCCTCACATATCAAGGTTCGCAAGCGGGGCATCCGTGGCCCTTAAGCAACCATGGTATAACACCAGAAACTATGCAAACCGCGATGAGATGGGAACACATACCACACAGAAACCTTGCGGGCGGGCCTAAGACACGCAGTCATTGTATGTCAAGCGAGCTTTTGAGATTCGGGTTCCTATCATGAATGATTCCCCCTAGTTCAATTGTGACACTCCTTCGCGACCAGAAGTGCCAATTGTGCTGGTTGCAAATTCTCATTCATGGTTGTGGATCCTCCATCTCCCTCCCCTCCTGCCCCAGTCCCCTCCCTCCATGTGGTCCCTTGCATCCATCTTCCCTCACGCCTTGCCCCGCACTGAAAAGTTCAATTTCTTTGCGACACAACCAATACTAACTCCCGCCCAAGCTGCAACCTGGGATGCACTCAAGAACGTGCTGCGTTCCAGATCGTGTCTGCCCCCTACGCGAGATAGTGCTTAACCCGAGTTCCGCTACCTTTCCTTTCAGAACGCTCAATCTGGAAGCGCGCTTCCGGCCACAAACCCAAAAATCAAGGTCGTTAACATTACATGTCAACTATGCAAACATCAGAAAAAGCTAGCGGCTCACCAGCTCAGATTTTCATGCGCATGGTTCAAAGCTAGATGACCTCTTTCCAAAGCTGACATGATTCTAGGAAGAGTCTGATGTGCCAGCCACTTTCTGGCAGAAGCCCACCAAAGCCTTTTTCACATGGTAAATGCCCGAATTGCCAGCTACTTCTGTTCCCAGGCATCGCTCTGCTGGCTACGGATCGCTTCCGCAGTTCCCAAACGCGGGCGCGCCGCTGGTTCTGCGGTAGGGGCATACCCAGGATGTGGGTCCTCTCAACTGAAAGTACAAACAATGAGAAAAAGCAGTGAGGATCCTTTGTTTGGGGGTGCTCACTTTTGCACAGAAGCCTGTTTCACTTATCCGTCACCCTGCTAGGGACTGGGTCACGGAGCTGACGTGCCGACCAAGTCGATCGGCATTGTGTCAACCATAGTATCATTGAATCATGGTTGCTGGTTTTGGGCTTAGCTTAGGCACAGACGACCTCAAAAAGGCAAAGGTGGCAAAGGTTCTCTTTGAAGATGCTCTTGTGTTGTTGGGTTGGTGGCTTCATTGCATCTCACCTGCCCTTCAAGTCACATGATATGGCAGTCAGAGAGGAAAAAACAGCGTGCCTGTGCGGCTGTAATTTTGAGCCCCAGATCCAGGTGTGATTCCAACATGCGCTGCACGTGGTGCCTAGGAATGGACATCTCAGCAAGCTGTCAAGATGCCGGCCGCAACCCTCCTGCTGCTCTGGCTGTAACAGGACTTTGAGCCAAAGGCATGCGATGAAAACCGAGATGTGTACAGATGACCGGGAGTAGGTAGACTGAAGCTCTGCTGGTAGATTCAAACAGGGCGAGCAAGGCGAACATTGTCAGGGGTTAAGTGGCCAGGCAAAACGAGTTGACATGGGGCAATGAAGCCAAGTTTGTTTGTGACTCGTCTTGGGGGTCGCCTTGCGCCGTCATCGACTTCTCGCGGCTTGCGCTGGTAAGGCTCATGAACTGGTTCATCCGTCAGAAGCTTTTGGGGGGTTGACGCCCCTGGTGAGCCGATCTGATTGCCAGGCCGCCAGGCCTGCCTCCTGACATGGGCTCAGGTGCGCCCGCATCATCGCACCCCTCGCACCCTTCGCACCCCTCGCACCCTCGTTGCCGATGTGATTGTCCAAAGCCCTCAGAAGAGGTCGTCCTTCGCCTGGTGTTCGTCGGCCAACGCATGCTGGTTCCTGGTACGAGGCATGCTTTGGATACTTCGCGCTCCTAGATTACAGATGTTTGGATGCGGGTGCCAGGACGATCCCGCACTCCTGCGAGAGGAGCTACAGCAGATGCTGGGCGTGGAGCTAAGTTGCCATGCCATGAGCTTTACTCCTGGAAGATTTTTCTGGAGGTGCGGAATATGCTAATGGTGCGACGGCAGACCCGGGACTCCGCGCCGTGATCTCGCCACATGCAGGCGAGTTTGTCAAGCATTCGGATTTCCGAGCCTCGACAGCCTCGGCCTGAAGAAAGGTCTACGCTTCTCCGGCTCGGCAGGCCTCTCAGAGCCCGAACAAGTCGGTTTTCTGCAAACTGCTGCGCGCAGCTGTTTACGTTGAAGCATGTTGAAGCTACCATTAGACAGGCCATACTTGGATTTGCCTCGGCAGCCCTCCAATCATGACTACTTGGTTTTTGCTGCCTCAAGGCCTGGCAGGTTCAGTTTGACCTAGCTGTGCCCCGTGACATTCTGCTAAATTCATCGTTGCAGAGTTGGTTTATGTAACGAGTGCCGGCTTGAACCAGGTAGGGTGTGGTATCACTACAGAAGCAAGAAAGGTAGACAGATCCTGAGAATGTTTGCACCACCCTTCTTTCAACCTTGATACCTTGGTCCATCCGTTGTTGCTCAGGTTGCAGCCGGCGTCTTCGCGCGCTTGGATGTGGAGAGTTTGCAACGTATCTTCCTGCTTGGGCGTGGGGCTTGGAAAGAACATCTGACGTCCGGGCTCTCAACAACTCATACGAATTCACGCCTTGCCGAAGGATATCCGGAACAAAGTGTCATGTCGGGCATGCCGTATCGCCTACCCGCAAGATCTTCGGATGACTCGCAAGATAGATTTTCAGTTATTCAGTTGGCCGAAAGACAGCCCAGAGCCAGAGCCTCTTTGCAAGTCTCCTCAAGGCCGTCGCACCATGAGCCCCTGGATGGTTGCGCTTTGCCCGGTGAGGAGGTCGTGGCATACAGGACAATTGACGGGGTACCAAATTCTTTCGGGAACAATTTTTGCAGTAGTGATTGGCAGTTGCATGGAGCCAATAGTATTAGAGCCTCAGAGCGCAGGGCCCAACCAGGAACTTTCTTGGCAGTGACAGGGATGCAGAGAGCTCTACTTCCAGCATCGTCTTATGCGTGCAGGACTCCACTGGGAGATCTTCCGCTGGACCTAGGGATCCTTGTTCCCAGCCTACGTCTGCCAGAATGTCTTCGTGCTGGGATGGGTAGTGCTGATTTGGATGATAAAGAATCTTTGGTTTTTGTGTCTTCCGTTGATTTCTCTGGATGCCTCATTGCAAATCGTTGCGTCTGCATGATACCAACTCTGAGTGCCTATTGAAATCACGGCGTCCCAGGCTTGGGTCACAGAAGGCGTTGAGTTTGGATTTCCGCCCAATCAGCAATCCAATTAGTGGATGAGCCACGCCGAAATGTTCTGATTGCTTTGAGGCAGAGCTACGCAAGACCCATGAGTTCAGTCACCTGCCGATGCACGTGGATGAGGTGAGAATCAAGCTACATTCGCGATGGGTTTAGGGAGCTTCAGCTGATGTCCGGAGAAAAGAGTTGCTCTCACCCGCTGCTGCAAGCAGCCTCTAGACGTGTTCATGTCGACTCCCTGCGGGTTGCAGTGCGCCCAACAAGCCTAGAAAAGATGCATACGATCAAGTTATGCTCCAGAAAATGCTTAGCTTCTTGCTGGCGCCTGCAGGCTGAGCACTCCCTCGAAATGCAGCTGCCCAACTGCAATAGGTTGCTGCTAGGCAGATAACTCCTCCCCAATTTGTATCTTCTTCCTCGGACTACGATGCTCATGACTTGATATGGCGCCACGGTCTGCTACGTGTTGATCTACTGTGGAAGAGCCCATTCGGCAAGAAGTACTCGCCACCGTCATGCTGCCATTCAGCGATGTGAGCACGACTTCTATGGTAAGTTGTTGCTTGATCGATTTTGGTGAGATGCTCATCGCTAGGCTGCCCTTCCTGGCACTTCTTTTGCCGGGGGGCCAAGCTCCAGCTTCCAGGGTTCGAATCTGCCGGGCTTCCACAACAAAGAGCCATTGCAGCAGCTGCTTGGCAGAGACCGCTCCCCTGTGCTCCGCCGAGGAACAGCCCAAAGAGGCGTCATCTGCCCCCTGTGACCATCGTTCCGATACTCGTTGGCCAGGTCCACTTCCGCGTACAACTTGCATTCCCTTGTCGCAAGCATACGTCTATGTATCAAAGGTTTGCGCAGGAACAACACAGTTTGTCCAATGAAGCTGCCAAATCAATGTAAGTTATGCCAGATCTAGATGTGAAAACATGATGCCAATGACTTTGAATTACACGATTGTACGTATTTTGCATCAGTGAAGTCAGCACAGAAGGCGCGGCAACTACTGGCCAGTGATCAGATCACCTGGCAATGCGTCTGATAGCTATCCTCGCGATCCTCCCCGAGCCAACATCTTGCTACATCCTTGTGATCTAGTTTCTTCATAGCAGTCGTTGAATTTTGGCCCTGCCGGAAAGGTGGATGCCCGCAGCGAAGCCCGTTATGGGCATCTCCTGGCACCCTTCCTGGAGTACCCCGGCTGGGAAGAGTCCTAGTACCCAGGGATTGCTTTCAACTACAGATATAGGAGGTGTTGAGCCTGCCAGGGTGGCTGGTTTTGAAGTAGCGGGATGATGCGCTCTAGAGGGTGGCGTGCTGAGGCAGAAGGGAGCGCTGTTCGCCGTGGCCTTGGGTTCCTCTCGTGTTGGGTCTTTGTCATTTTGTCAGTTGCCTAAGCCTGAACAAATGTCGCCGGTAAGGTGGTTTCTTCCGACTTTTGTCACTGGGGTGCTCAGTTTGGCTACACACGCGCAGGCCTTCGCCTATTGCTAAATGTGCGTCGAACATTGAGAAGCTTGTAGATTCACTTTAGGCCTCTGGACCATACCAAGCTTGGGTCTCTTCCATGAGTTGTGACGTTTCTGAGATTGTCAAACTCACAGGCAGCCGTGGCTTGATGAACTAGGGCCCAAGACTTTGAGATGATTACCTGAAAAGCATGTCGTGCAAGGTCATGTTTGTTTTCAACAACGTGTTGCTACATCTTTCAAATCGCTTGGTGAATGATGCAGGCTCTCCATCCCTCGCAAAGACCTACCGAGATGGCCCTCATCCAGACAATGCTCGGATTGAGGCCTTGCTGGTGCAATCTTGATACTTTTTCTGAACGTCGAAATCTGTAGGCTTGATACACTGACTTAGTTGTGTTGCCTCGATGTTACCCGTTCCCTTTTGCCATGGTCCGGGCTGGTATGAAGATGGATATGAGCTACTGTCAGTATTAGCCGTATTGAGGGACCCTCAAAAGTGGACATCCGGGTCTGTCTTGTAGTTTAGTACAGTCTCTAACATAGGCCTGACAAGGAGCCCATGTCCTTTCAATGATGTAGGACATATTGTTTGTAGCATTGTAGCGCATGTTTTTGCAGTTCCTTGGGCAGGGCCTTGATCGTGAGGGAATGGAACATATCCAACGCCAAGACGCTGCTGGTTTCCGGGCGTTATGCGCCTGGAAGGGATCTACATATCAGACATCTTGCATCCCTCAGCTCTGCCTGATGTAAACAGATTACAGTTGTGATTTGCCATTGCCTGTGGATTTCCGACAGTGGGTTGGAAACTCATCTTCAGCGATGAGGATCCGGTCTCCGCAATCGCAATATGTATTTCACCTCCTCGTCAGATTGAGGTATCTTCGGCGAGAAGGCAACACGATTTGTGGCGCGACGCCTGGTTTTGGTATGTTTTGGTATGGGATGTGTGTCATTGGTGTATCTGAGGCCGTCATCCGATCCTGGTTTTGTTGGAGGCCTGGCCAGTGTGCCTTCCTTCACACTTCATGGCCGCCCCCCACACGTAGGATAGCACAGGCAACCTCATCTTCCAGGGACTGCTGTGGTAGCCATCTGCTGACTCTTCTACTGCCAGATGCGTGATGAAGTATGCTTCCCCTGAAATTATGCAGAGAATCCTTAATCCTGAGCCCAGCGCCCGCACCGACTTGCAGATGCTGGCTGCCCGTGAAAGTCGCGCTGAAATGGGCGTGGACTTTGTGAAGTATGCGCAATCGAGGCCTGGCTAGGATGCTGGAGCATAGCGGCCCGAGAAGAGCCAGCGGGACCGTTCCTCATCGAGTTGGTTGTTTTCCCAGCCATCAAGCCACTACTTTCTCCACCCTGCCCTTGCTCGGACGATTCAAGCATATGTTGCATCTGTTACGCAGTGCGATGCCGGGAATGCCACCTCCACGGACAGCCTCGGTCTCTTATGCGTGCGCCGGCACCTCGTTTTCTGCAGCTGTGGACCTGAATTTGCACATGATGCGCAGACAAGGCTGTGTGCAGACCAGTGTTCGTGGGCGGCGGGTGAAATTGTAAGGCTGCAGGCTCATTGCCCTTGGAGGATAAATACCTACCAGGCGGCTAACACGTGTCCCCCAACCAGCTGGCCTGGAATTTGCCTTCATCCGTGTGCAGCTGAAGGAGGGTTCGCAGGCTCGATTTCAATCATCAATGAATTCGTGCGCGTCTTCCGTTTTCCAACCCTTTGGTGCAGAATAAGAGGACAGACCGATCTCAATTTAAGATGCAATGGCAGGCTTTTCTGCCCAAGGCGTTTGATGCATGCCGGATGATGCAAAAATGAATCTATTCTTGAACAGGCTACTGATCTTTCAATTGGATTGAATGGAATCGATATTTTCAATCAAGGGTCTCCAAAATCTGAATCTAAATATCTCAAATATGAGAAATCATTGAAATTGATGGAACCGTAATTCAAGTAGAGACAGACGGGGATTGAAGATTGGAGATATCGGTATTGATCACTTTTGTTTATTAAGGGCTGCCGCCGCTG